TTTGTGTGAGTTATAATTTAGAATCTAATTACATTTGTCAAATTATAGGCGTTACAAATTTTAAAATCAAAAGTATTTACCGCATTGCATTTTTATATAAACATGACACGTAAGCAAAATTATAACTCACGAGATCACGACATGTATTTAATAATAAGATTGATCAGATGATTAATATGTTAAAACTTAAAATTAATTAAAAAAATAAAATGGAAAGTAGTTGTCAAGTTACTAATCAAATAATAAAAAGTAAAATTTCTAATACTATCCATACTAATTAAAAAACAAAAATTAAGATGAAATATAAACATTACATAAGCCATAAAATAAATAAATAATACATATAGAATAAAAATGATAATATATAATTAAAAAAAGAATGATAAAAAGGTATATAAATTGGAAGTATAAAATTTATAAAGGTTATACAAACTTCAATTTAAAAGTTTAAATATATACACAACCATGTAAAAATAAATTAATACAAAGAATCTATAAAAATATTTATTTTATCAACATACTGAAATAGAGTTATAGAATATTACAAAAAAATGAAAATTTTGACTTATAACGCCAATGGTATTCTCCAAGTGTATATATTGAAAATTATGTAAGTTAAAAAATAATAATATTATTTTACTATGAAGTTAATATTGTATAAAGTTTGGCGAATATAAATTTTTATGAGAAATAAAATGATGATATTAATAAAATATAATTATCAATCATGTATTTATGTAATGGTTCACAAAATTATTTGTAATTTTTATGAGGTAACTAACATAAATTTTACTTTTTCTGATTTAACTATATAATATTATATTTGTTTTTATTTCTATCAAAAATTAGTAAATATTCATAATAGGCTAAAATATATATTTTGTGTTATTAAGTATATTATTTAAATTCCGATTATATATATTTTTGGATTTGCATGATATGGATTAAAATATGATAATTATGATATAAAGTAACTTCTATTGGTGTTAGAATCTATGTTAAATCCTCTATATATTAATAGAGAAGACACTAACTGAAAATCCTAGGTATCATCCAAAAATGATTTCAATGAACTTTTAACTAAAGCTATTAAAATTTCTTAATGATATTATTGTGTAAATAACTAGACGAAATTTATATCATATATACAATATATAATTATTAAACAAATATGGAAACAAAG